CAACATAAACAAATTTTTCATAAGAATGATCTTTACTGAGCCTTTATGTTTAATAAACGTTGTATATCTTAGCCTGAAGTTTTTTTAATTATCATTAAAAAGAAAGTCCAAATCCTTTGAAATGTCTTTCTTCATCAAAAAGACATTGTAGGAAACGAAATATACAAGCACAATACAAAGTTCATGAGTGTTGCCCAAACTTTTTGCGTCAAAGTCACGCTTATCTTGTTTGCTCAAAAAACTAAAAAAATATTAAAGTCAAACTGCCATTTGAATTGGATGCTGGCTATAACTATTAAATTTTACCACTAGCCAGATTAAACACTTTTGAAAAATTCACTTTTAAAAAATAATGTGAATGTCACTGGAAAATGGGTAAGGATAAGTATGCACCATTTGCATTACGGGATATTCAGTGACAATATTGTAAAGATACTTTAAATGGAGAGGGGCAACATAGGCAAGCAAAATTTCTTCACTTAAAAAAACCCCTTGAGAACGAAAGATTGATAAGAGACTGGTCACGAAATGTCTTGCCTGTTATTGATGTAAAAGCTGATAAGTAATAAGTCTAACTGTCATGTCATAATAGTGCCTTGGTAAAAAGCGACGTCACAAATAACGTTCAAAATAAAAACATTGAATGTAAGTGAGAATCGAAATGAATTGTTATATTTCGCAAAGGCGAGAAAGTTTGTATCAAGAAAAGCGGCCTCTGGCTTTTGGATTAGCGGTAAATTTTATTCGGAAAACTTACAAGCATCTGGCAAAATAAACATTGTGATAAACATTTTTACGTTTTTTGCAACAAGCCGATTGGCAAAACAAGAGCTTTGTCAAGAAAGAAATTTTTGGGTACTCGACTAGCCGCTAAAGGGAAGAGGCACAAATAAAACACGAAGCCGCATTAAAAGAGACGTAATCACAAAAATATAGGTATTTGCGTCTATCGAGGTGCTATTGGAACCTGTTCCAGATTTAAGGTCCTCCTTCGTTGATTCAGGTTCATTGTTATAAAGAAGCTTCTGTTCATTCATTAATTTCTAAATTCCACTACATACAAACACTCTTTTAATTAAAAAACTTACAATAATAAATAACTACATATAAATTAAAATGACAATGACACACATAAAGGGATAAGGATACATGACACCAGAGGATTTGTCTGAAGGGAAATTCTTAAGGAGGAACTCTCTCAATAGCTAAACTAATCGGGGGGAGAGCACCCTCTCATTTCAGATACATTTTAAGATACTCTGGGTAATTATTGACTATCGATAATCAGATTTAATGGTTATGCTCCACCAGGAAAGTTTTCAGCTTCTGACGAAACATCTTGATTGATGGTGACCTTTTTATTTATACAGGAATGCCATTCCAGCATTTTGCTCCACAGTAGCGTACTGTTCTGAGACCATATTGACTAGTGTTTTTCCTAGTTAGAAAGATGTCATTCTTGCCAGCCTGTTCAGCCTGAAGCGACAGAATTTTATTAATGAAGTCTTTGAACAGGGTTCTGTAAGTGGGTGACCAGATGTCCCACATAACATTTTGTAAGGACTTTTCGTTTTTATGGAGGCTTTTAAACTTCACTTTAAATTTTCTTACTTAAGACAAATGCTTAAAAATAAACCTTTTTCAACTTAATAAAATAATATAGGCTGTTGCTAAAACAACTGACATTAATATGGCCAAATATAAGATTTCGTCTTGACAATGATACGTAAAATTCAAATAATCTTGCCCTTGCTGCTGGCGTACGTGCAACTAAGTCAGCATTTGCCCTAAAACTAACATTACCGTACATAAGTCTTCAACTGTTCATTCTTTCTCACACGTACTGTTTCTTATTCCAACTAATGATATTGGAGGCCTACTTGCATTTATGGTACACTGTTTTCAAGCAACTGTTTTCTTTTCATTTTTTCTTTATCAAATGTGCGATGGTCAGATTTTTTCTTAAGCAAGTCGTGCCACTAATCCAAGATTGATTTGTGAAATAAGACTTGTAAGCAAGAACTTATGCTTGAAGACAAAATTTTATGTCATCTTTTGTCAGGGAAGTTGATAATTATACAGTTTTTAATTCAGTGCAGAAAAGAAAAGGATTTCTATTAACTTCATCTTGTTTTCTTTTTGACTTCGAAATTCTCCGATAATCGGGAGGCTGGAACAAGCGGTGGAGGGCTATCGAATCAGCCTGGATATGAAAATGATTTGGAAAAAAATAAAAAGCAGAGCTATTTCTGAGGGTTCTATGTTTGAAAAAATAAAACACTGAATCACTCGTTTAAAGGGCATCCACTTTGAGCGTGGAAGAACTTTGTCTGTACACAGAGAAACTTAATATGCAGTGAAGGAGGGAGGGGGAGGGGGGATAATAAGGGCAGAAAAACTTCTGTACATTTAATCATCAGGGAGGAAGGTTATTAGAAAATTGAAAATACTTCTAAATCACAGAGCAAATTTCATATCAAACTTGCGCATTAAATTCTCGAAGGATGTAAGCCCTGGATTATACAATTCATATTTGGTTTCGTGATTCTCCGGCAACTTTACTTTTTGGATGATGTTGCTATTTCTTGACCGCTTTTTTGTCGCCTCGTTTTCTTTCCTAAGCTCATCCATCTTCACACGGATGTGAAAATTTTTTCACTTCAAAAAAACAATAGACATTGACTGAGCCTCTTTGTGAAAACGAGATGAAAGGTACCTTCGATGGTAGGAAATGACGTAGCAAGGAAAGAAATTTGGATAAGGAAATGTAGAGTAAAGAAAGTGATTCATTCACCGACTCCTTCACTGTCATTTCTTATAACGTAATCGAGGACGCCAGCAACTTTTGGATACATATATAGTGTAAAATTTTTCACAAAAATGAACCTTCTTTCTAAGGTAAACAGGGAAGCTAAATGCGAAAAATTGCAAATTCTGTTTGATTTCGTTAAGTTGTGCTTCTAAGCGTTAATGTCCAGGGAGATTCTCAGAAAAAAAATTTGAAATGGACCTACAATCCTTCCCAAAATTTATTATGATCAGTATCCATTGATGTAATATCTTACTCAAACGACATTAATTGTATTCATTGTAATGTGCTTCTCCTCATAAAGCATTGCTGTTTGGCAATGAAAATCAACTATCCATATCAACGAAAATCACCCACAACATAGCTTTGCTAGGGAATGGGCGAAAAATGAATGCAATTTCCTAATTTTTGTGAAACCTTGAAGATAGACAATTATAAAGAGCCCTTAATGTCCATTTGTTCGGCCCTCCTATTTTCCCTTGTAGCTTTAAAAACAAAAAGGATGGTGGATTAGGAAAGGAACGTGAAAAGTAAAGTGTTAGTTCTTTCGCCTAAAGACTATTATGCAACGTTGCATCAACTTCTTCTCGCAGTTTTGCGAAAAGCATGCGAGAATAGTAGCTAATGTTTTATTCTTCCGGGTTATTGCATACTTCTACTTTATAAAGATCTTTTGATAGTTTCGCGAAGGGTGAGTTTTCAAATTACCCTAGATAATAAAGTGAATGTGGAAATAGAAACAATTATGTAGAAACATATCTTTCGATATAGAAACAGAGCATAGGCGTGATGAGTATGTTTTAATTTGAGTTGTCTCCTTTGAACTATATGCTTCATTTCCAGAGGCCCGCAGTAGGGGTTCGATATTTTCGCCATCCTGGATAGAAAATTATGCATCTACCTATATAATTGTTTTCTCATTGTTGGCCTTAACACTGAGCACCAATTCTTGTTCACATTGGAGGTAGAAGACGCACTAGGCAGATAAGCCTAGTCATTTCCAAGTAACGAAAGAATTTAATGTTGGCTTTCTTGTCTTCGTTGACAAAATTATGGAACTGAGATGATATTGCTGGAGTTCATTATTGGCAGCTCTCTTAGATAAATATGTGTAGTGCATTCAAAATTCTGGAGTTTACCCCTTCGCAAATTGCAACTCTGATTGAACCCCGACCTGTTAAGAAAAATTATAGTTTTAGCTCTGTAAGAACCCTCTTTAGGCACCCTTACCCTCTATTTATAGAACTTTAGCCGTCAAATGATTGTTTCCTTTGTTTCTCAAAAATTGTTCTATTATCGTTAGTTCTATTCTAATTTTCATACAACTAGAGTAGAGAGACTTACTGCAATAGTCAATGGATACGATAATATACATGTAATAATTATATGTGATCAGCCCAGATCATTACTTAGGTAAAAATATTTCAACAAAAGTGAAAAATGAGAAGAATGGGTTGAAATACACTCTTAGCCCGTTGCTGATTAGGTGGCCCTCCTTAAAAAGGGCATTTTATTTCGTCGTTATTAAGTATTGATTCATGCTCTATAAAATCGTTCCTGTACTTTATAGGCTCAAAGTCCCCTCCATAACGGGGCACCTTTCACAAAAGCCCCACCCTTGCAAAGCTCCCTTCTTCGGCCCGTTCCTCTTCGGTTGATATTTATGGCATAGGTTAGGAGGGCGTAAACATTTCCCAGTGAGAGAAAGATCAATAATCATAAACCCTTGTGTGACGCAAGTAAACCTGGATAGCAAGTAAATCTGGCAATGGCCAAAGTAATTTTTTTGGACTGGCATGAAATGGGTGACCGGAATAATTGGCATCAAAAAGAACTATTGAAAAGAACATCCCTGCATTATAATGCAGGGAAACAAACTTCTTAAGGATGAACTCAAGACTGACTGGGAACAAAAACTTTAGATTGAAGGGGGCTTGTGAAATGAAAAATGTTCAGGCCATTCAATAGGGCCTCCCGGTCAGGAAACTGTACACCAGGGACGGTTTTTACCGGGCCTGTTGCACTGGGGTATTGTAATCCTCTAACCAAGCGTTGCTCATTTCCCCTGTTGTAAGTTGTGTTCCTGTAAAGAGTTGCTTCGTATCAAAGACTGAGTAAACATTCTTTCCAAGATCCTTCGATTCCATCGAAACAGTAAGTAACAGTATTAAACAACCACACACCAGAGAAATCAAAGACTTTAGATCGTTAGGGTATTTTACGCAAAGTCATCTATCATACAAGACCGAGATCATTAATCTACCATTAAAATACGAACAACAATGAAAATAATAAAGAAGTGAAATTAGACTAAAAATAACAACAACAATAATAATATTAACAATAACAACTATCAGAAGAATTAAAATCAATATAATTATAATAAAATAAAAACAAATCATCCAGTAATATATTTTACATTCACAATCAACGTAACAATTGCTATTTTAAAGTCTCATTTATATATATTTATATATATATATTCATTTATAATGTCTTTTCTAATTCAATAGTATTTATTTATTGACTGTTCCTTTTAGCGTTGTGCCAAAGAGATTATGATAAATATTGGGCAGGATAAACCATTTAGCGTGTATGTAGAGGGGTCATATGGAAATACAGACTAGTCGGTTTGTTTGAACTTAAGAGTGAATTTAAAATTTTTGGTCAGTCTCAGAATGTTAAAACTTTTTTATTTTTATGTAAGTAGAATCCATAGTCGAAAATTAACTTTCATATAAGATCGCGTTTAGAATACAAGTATGGTGTTATGTTAAAATAAAAGCATGACAGGAGTTAAAGGCACAGTAAAGTGTGAGGGAGTTGTGTTTAAAAACAAACTTGGCGCTTTTACTGCGACGTAACGAAATATCCTATCGTCTTAACGAAGTCTGGTGGCAAAGCAGCGAAGAAACGAAGACTAAATGAAATATCATAAAAGATTATGGGGAGACTGGTGCAGCTTGTCAGACAAGCTCCAAAGTGGACCAAAATATAGAAGGATTTAGTTTCAGACAAAGTTAGTAGGCTATATAAGGGTTGGAAGGTTTTGCAGCACTTCTTTGTATCGGACTCAATTTAAAACAAACATTGGAAAAATACTTTAGATCCAACTCACTGTATCAGACTTTACCTATGCAAAACAAATACAACTTAAATAAACCAAAAAGCAAGAAGTTTCGACGCAAAAGAATTCGGAAAAGTTGTATTGTTAATTCTGTTACTTGTAGAAAATAAAATTCAATTTGATTAAGGTTTTTTAAAAATCCACCATTTGCCTTTTTCTAGCCAATTTTTTTCAAATTCTTTTTTTAGACAAAAATAAAGTTTAGCTCAGTAGAAATACGACTTAGTCAGGCCATAGTATACTCAAACAATAAATGTTATTAGCGCCAATAAACGAGTACATGCCTGACACAAGACCTGTAATATATGTTGAGAATCTCTTTCTAGATCATGCAGGGGGAAATGGGTTCTTCGAATGGTTAAATGAGAAAAGCATTAAGCAGTACTAAAATTGGTCGTAATTTGTGATACAAATGTTATGTAATTGTTTTTTGCTGTACCCAAGAAAAGACAACACTGTACAGTCAGAGCCTAAAAAATTGGGGCCAACATAAAAAACACAATTTTCACCCAACTAAACATTTCTCAAATATTATAAGAGGTTGAAGTACTCCAGATTTTATTGCGTTTTTCCTCATTTTGCGTTGCACTATTGCTGCAAAGAAAGACTTTATCAGGCGAAATAATTCTGAGAAAGCTGGTAGTTTCGGACATTGAAACAAAAGCTAGTCGATTGAATAATGTGGATCAGCTTTTCCAGACAAAGGAAAGACAAGCAACGTTCAGAGAGATCCTTCAGACTGCTCCCTAACATAAACACTTGTTATTAAGGTGTGATTTTTAAGTTTCGGTCCTAATTCAAGCATAACACAACAGCTGAATACCGTGGACGTTAAGTTTATGTCTGTTGTTAAACTACATTAGTTCTAACTCAAAGTTTGAAAACAATGTCATATAGCGTCTAACTTTATTTCTATCATACATCTTTGAAATAAATTTATTAATTTAATTTTCAAATAATTCTACCTCTTTAAACTTTGATGACGGAAAGAAGTTCATTACAGAGTCTTTTGTACACCCACGTGTCTCCATCAACCTTTCTTAGCTTGATACCATTTAGGTCACTCCCAGGTACATTCGATACCTCGATCTCCATCTGCACGCCATTGCCAAACAGAGAGAAATAAGAATCCGACTTGTTATAATCAAATCCACTCGGCTGCCGGGCATCGAGGGCCAGCTGTATCTGGGCCACTATAAATGCGATTTCCTTTTCCGATATCATATCATAACTAATAGCTGTCCTAAGAGGGTGCGTAGTGTCCTTGCTTGGAGCAGTTTCACTAGAGTTATTATTATAAAATACACTCTCTTGTGTGACCTGTTGGTTTTCAAGGGCTTTTTCAGAACACTCTTGCAGAAAACTTGTCCAATAATTCGACGCATTGGTTCCTATGCTCGAATTACTATTAGTCTGTGAAGTACTCGATGTACGCGGCATTCTCGGTGACATTGATGCATTGTTTAATCCATTATGGCCACCTAGCAACGGGCTAGTCGGTTGTGCGGCAGTGGCTGCGGCATAGAGTGGGTGTATGGCAAAAGGAAAGAACAAGCTTGGTTGTGGAAACTCCGGCGGTTGCTGTACACTAGGAAAACCGTTACTACCTGATGTTTCAGAATCAGAGCCTGTACGAGACATGTCAACTTCCATTTGCTTGCTTGGTTCAGAGTATGGTACTCCTGCAGGCGCCGATTTCTGGCGAATATGCCCTCTTAGGTGTGTCTCCTCTGGGACTGTAGGCGTAGAGGACTGACGGGAAGAGAAAGGCGAGTGGAAAGGTACTGGGTTTACCTGAGTAGTTGCGTCACTACCCACGGAGGTGAACGCCATGTCCGGTATCCGTAAATTCAACTTCTGCATCTGCTCTTGTAACTGCTCTGGCTGTTGTGTGAAGGTTGCAGAGACTGGGGCGCCTATTTCAGACTTGGCCACTTTCTGTTCCGGTGCTAAGCCTTTCATTTTCAAAAATGTCTCAATAGTCGCTTCCAAGTTAGGACTTCCACCAGATGCACGACGTATGAATTCCCTTTGCTCTTCTTCCTGTCGTTTTAATAGCAATTTGTGCTTAAGCAGTTGCTCGTGTCGCAATCTTTTCATTTCTTCTTCTTGCTTTAATCGAAGCATGATAAGAACGTCCTGCTGATGACGTATCATATGTTCCGAATTTGGCTCCTTGATTGCTGTTTCCGTAGGCGAAGTGTCATCATCATCTTGGGTCATTGCTTCCTCGAAGCTTGCCACGCCCATGTCTTGGTAGGCTGGATATGAATGTCTTGATGGGGTGTCTCTTTTGCGGAGCTGCGGATCTTTCTGATTCTGGTTTCTTCGTTGGCGCATGCTTGGCTGTTCGGATCTGTTTCCGTAAAGTTGCTGCAGCTTCATAAATTCTGCTTGTAAATGCTTCATTGGGTCAGGATGCTCGCCAATTTGCCCAAGATTAGCTTTGAGAACTGCACCAGTATTACCCTCAGACGATCGACGGTGGTAACGCGAACGTGTTTCAACTGACGCCCCCATGGTTGGGCAATAAGGAATAGGACTTGCACGCTCACGTTCTCGTGTAGGAACTAACGCTGTTCTACGCTGCGGAAGTGCACAGAAACCGTCGGAAAAGTTACTCTCCGCAAAGCCAGCAGAGGGCTCAATTACGCAACCTAGAGTGTGTCGCTGCTGCCTTCCACGACCTTTCAAATACCTAGCAGCTGCCTCAAGATCAGGCTCCTGATCAGAACCAGAATCCCTATCGTCATCTTTGAAAGGTGGTACTCCGAGTAGCTGTTCCATGCTACTTTGGTTGCTACCACCACTCGAGTCATCATGGTTAGAAACTTGATTAAAAGCCTTGCGGGCCTTGCGGAGTGCATGAAACTGAGCTATGCTTGATTGGATAGATGCAGAGCCATCTGATGCTCGTCGATCATATGATGGCCGCACTTGCAAGACGGCAGGACACGGCAGAAATTGTTCTTTGTATGACAGTTTTCGTTGTTCTCCAGGTGGGGGTGTGGGTGATCTGCGTGATATCTCAGGTATGTTTATAGTATCACTGGTCTGGACGGCAATTCGCTCGACTTCCTGTGGGTTCAACGCAACCGCAAACGTATGACGTCTAGATGATAAATATTTTTGTAAATCCGGGCGATTTCCATTGAGGTCATCACCGTTTGAAAAGACCGAGCCGATCGGAACACTTTCCGGAATGTTCTTCGCGGTAGCACACGGTCCCTGGCTACTGTCTGCTTCTAAAGGCAAGCCCTCGATATGAACGTATTCATTATCAATGTCAATAGCTTCGTTCGAGCCACTTTTGTCAAAAGATCGCTGTTCTTTTCGACGCTTTTCCAGCAAAATCTGATACAAGCCATATAGTGAATCGAAAGTTTTCTTTTGCAAAGCCTACAAAATAACACCGATATCTTCGCTGGGTTCAGGGTAAATATTTTGTTTGAAAGGTTTTCTACGAAATAGCTACTTGCTTTTACAGGAAAAAGGTCAGCCTACGAAATAACTACAGTTATTGCGTTGTATTTGCCGAATTTTAACCTACTGCACTTGCGTGCGTAGAACAAATGTTTTAAGAGGTGGCCAAACGAACGCAACATGTTGATCAAACATGAGAATAAAAGATGTTTTACGAAATTTTTGATGGAGTAAAATTTTGCAAAACATCATAAAACATCGTAAAACATCGTAAAACATGGCGGCCAAACGAACAAAACATGTTTTATGCAACCATGTTGGATGATGCTTTATGCCGATGTTTCATTCGTTTGGTCAGAGACAGCATATTGTTATTATTATCATTATGTTGATGCTAATGACGATGCTAACGTTTGCTTGTTGTTGTATCACATAGTTTCGTTGTAGAATATGAGCTTATGAGAAAACCAAACTGTCTAAATGATTGGATTATTATTATGAACTCCCATTGCTGAATTACCATATGGGGAAAACAAGTTTGTTGTAAATCGAATACAGCTAAGCTATTTAAGAATTTTTGGGCAAATTTCCTTAAAACTCGGATGGAATTGCTACTAACTAAGGCTTGTTACCATTATTTTATTTTGCAAAATATTTATTTACATATGGTAGAGACTGAACACAGATTTATGGTAGAGACTGAACACAGATATTAGGGCACGCAAAGGACTCCTTCAACAATTTGATAAAACATAAATATTTTGCAATGTCCAAAATTTGCAGCATACCTGTATAATTTTGGACCTGTCCTCTCCCAGTTTTTCCATTTGCTGTAACACTTTCTCATTATACACACAAACACTAGTGTTTTCTTCGCGAGGATCGGAAAGATCTGCTAGATCTTCATAGGGTTCACCCTGGATAAGCCATTTGTGCTGTTTGATTTGTGCAATTGAGTAACGCTTGTTGGAGTCGACAATTAACATATGGCGAATGAGATTTTCACAATCTATGGATAGAATTGATTTAGCTAAGAAAAACAGAGCTAAGCTTTTCGTGTGATGTTGATGGCTATGTTAAGATTGAAAAGCGGTAATGAAGAAGACGATTCTCCAAATACCTCCAAATACCTCACTGGTAATGAAAATATTAATTGATGATAAAAAAATTAATATTCTTTTATTATAACACCTGTTACGATGGCTTCAGGAAAAGCAAACAAACAGAGTGCTTCCTTTCAGTCGGACCTTAAAGAAAATGATCTGACTTAGCGAATGTCCGACTGAACTCCGGTACGACTTTTGACTTGAAAATTCAAAGGGAATTGAAAGTTATTCTGACTAGGTGACAGTCTGAGTAGAGTCCATGGTAAGACTTAACAGGATGCAACTCTATATATAGAAATCTACTCTACTTTTAATCAATCTTATTCAATTTAAGTTTGAAATTCTATTCTGCTGTCAGAAAGAGAAATGGAGTGAATTCTCCAAAACATACCTTCAGACATGAAATACGGTATCCTGAATCTGCCGGCCAAGACTCGTGATTTTAGTTCTGGCAAAGTCTTCCCGTCAAACGGCAGTGTGCCACAAACCAAGATATATAAGACGACTCCCATGCTCTAAAATGATACATACGTAGCAAATTAATTGTTAATTGCAGTGATATACCATCATCTCAAAACTACCAAAGTTAAATATAGAGAAAGACGGCCACACGATTAATAAACTACTCAACCTGTGTACTGATTTGAAATATTTTCAATTGAAAAATTACTGTGGATTATTTCAAAGAAAGGAGAGACTTTGCACGGCTCTAAGAAAAGAACCCTAGTCCCTAGCCACATGGTTATATATCAAAACAAAATGCAGAGAATGGCTATGGAAACCAGAAATAAGCTATGAGAAATACGGAAGCAAAATTTAAATAAAGTTTTGAAAAATTTTAAGAAGCAAGACCTCATCAAAGGTTTGGAGAAGAAATATACCTTTAGGGAAAATTGTTTGAAGATCTAAAAATTGAATATAATTTAGAGGAAAGGCCCTTAAGAGACATTTCCAGATCTGAAAAGTTTCATTTCTTAGTTTTCAGAGAAATATTTTGAGAAACATGTTTTCCAAATGTAGTCCATATTTGTGAGTTTTACCACAAGACTACACGCAGAAAACTTTGCAAAAGAGCTCTTAACGGTTAAATTGACGGAATAATGACATTATTTCACGATTTCTTTGCAATGCATCAACTTAACTAAAATAGGCTTTAACACTTTTCCAAATAAATCTCATTTCATTTAAACAATAATCCAAAACGTTTGATGCAAATTGCGTTTTACATGACTTTGGTTAGCAAGATTAATAAGAATGCTATTTCTAACATGTAAATTTGTCTGCTATTCTATCTTTTTTAGGGATATAGTTAGTCTCTATAACTTGCCATTTACAGGAAAATCAAGTTCAGTCTATACTTTGAAAATGATTGTATTAACTGATTTGTCCCGTAATGTGCATTTGAAGATATTGACTGGCTCGTAGCCATAACACAGTGGCAATCAAATTGGAGCCCAGCAAAAAACAGTTAGATAACTACGATATATCAACAATAAGCGATGCCTTCTAATCTTTTTACCCTTCCCCGTACAAAGATGATTAATTTGTCTAGCAATCGCACATTATTCGCTAGTTAAGCAATCGCAATTCAAACGTGTAGTAGTTTAACAGAGGAAGGCAAAAGTTTTGGAAAAATTACTTTCCGTGGAGCTATCAAGTTACAGATACAAAAATTAACAGTGACATCAAAAAGGTCATACAATGACACGATTTCTTATTGCAATTGCTTCACGATTCTTGTAGCAATAACACCTACAGAGACTGAAAAATCCGCTTGTGCATTAAAAGGAACATTGGGCTTTATAGCATGTATTGCAGGGATCTGAGGATTTTCGATGGATAACTATTTAAAATTGAAATGGAACAACATGTTTTTGGAAAGCCAATGAAAGCTTTTGCAGTTTTCCTCGCTTCATTTAACCAGTAAGCTTGAGTCTGTAACACTATGCGCGGGTACTACAGCTGATTCTGCGAAAATATACGCGGGTAGTACAGCTGATTCTGCGAAGCAATGCGCGGGTACTACAGCTAAAGAAATGGAGAAACTTCAGATAAACAACCAGCTTAAAATTGTCAATTGTCCAGAATATCTACAACATTTCCTGCTGTATTTGTCACTGATTGAGTCAGTGTTGTGCAGTGATTCTTACAGAATAGCGCAGAAAATCAAACGAGACCACTATTTCTTTAACTTCAATGTACATAATTTGTATTGTTACTTACCCAAACATCTGTCGCGGGTCCGTTATATTCTTTGCCCTCAAATAACTCAGGGGCGGCGTATGGTGGGCTTCCACAGCACGTCTTTAACTTAAACCCGGGCTCAAACCGGTTGCTAAACCCAAAATCTAAAAAGAAAAAAGGGGTTAAGCGGCAGCGCCTAAAAAACATTATAGCAGATTCAACTAGCAAGGTCGCAATAATAGGAGGGAGAGTTTGAGCCTAAGTTGACCTTCTAGCTTATGAAACCACTTGATGCAATGGCATTGGATTTCTTCTACAACCTAGATCCATTGCAATAATTGAAAATGGCCCAGTGCTCATGAAATGTGGCAACATCGCACATTCATTGCAAGTAAGCTAATTTCGTACCTTAATAGAAATACCTACATATACTACTTGTATACAAATTTAAATATATGAAATGCCGAGGTGATGCAACAAAGTGACAACAATACGGTTTCAGTAAAAAAGGGTTTTTGATTGTATTTGATTGAATTTTCGGGTAGGGAAATTGTTCGGTTCTTAAAATCAAATTCTCTGCTTCCATTACGGTACGAAGATTCTTGCAGAAATTACTTGGGAAACAAACATCTTTCCAATTACTTCAAAATTCCTTCGGTTTTCATAATTGCCATTATTAACGCCCTAATTTCAAGCCACAGTTTAAGAGGCTGATCACTTTGAAGAACATTGAGATCTGCGCCCTCAACGCAGCACCTGCTATAAGTGACGTCATTCCAGCCTGTTTGCTTCTTTTTTCATTGAGTTTTCCACCTACAGTCAAACTATCTGGAACAATAACATATGGCAAAAAGCAGATGCACAACTGGGTTTGTAATTACAGATCTAATTAAGTTGAACATGTCACGTTCTTTTAGCCGTATTGGGTTTAACGAATGGAGAGGCTTAAATGGTTTTGTGACTTAGAACACAGGGCAAGCACTTTGTGTTATTATCATAGTTTGGGCATCATGCTCACTAGGCATAAATGGAAAAAAGCGAGGCTCGGCACTAATTACTGTCTCAAATCAAAGTCTCAAAGGTTATGGAGACACGAATGCCTACAGAAGGACAGATGGTACTGGCAAAACATGGCCAAATGCGGGGAATACCATCTCGATTTTCAGAATAAGATGGTGAACAGAGTGAATAAGGGGGATCTGGAACTATTCGCTTCTTTAAGAACAAAACTTGCTGAAATTCTATGGTGGGATCGATTCCCCCGTCTATTTCTCGTTTTTACACACGTAGATATTACAATCTTACTAAACAGTAAATAGCAACCTCCCCAAAAGGCATCTGAACAAGGGATGGACTCCTTCGAGAATATATAGCCAATCTTTCCAATAAATTTCCTTACGCACAGGACCCTAATTAAAGCAGTATGCTTGTCATACTGATAGGTTATTCCTGTATAAACATTTATGTATTATTATTATTATTATTAAATGTAAAATTTCAGCTGCAAACATTATTACTATACGACTCAGGGCAAACACAGCTTTCAACGCGCTAATATTCGATTTAATTAGCAAGACAGGGATTTAAATTTTAATTAAAAAGGTACCTGCAATTTTTATATTATTGTTTTCATCCAGAAGAAGATTCTCGGCCTGTTGAAAGAAGCATAAAAAGTATTTTAATTAGTGCGCCAATGAATGAAAAAAATTTAAGAACAACAACGAAGCGGAATAACAAAAAGTAATGACATAGTTGGGATGGTGAACGACTACCAATGAGTTTTTAAATTGGCGGGAGAACTGAAGGTTTTCAATCAAGATGATTTCTTTGAGAATAATACCGCTATGCGTCTCAAGGTCTGTGGAAATCGGATAAAATTCCGAAAGCTGAAGCAACTATGGCGACTGCATGTTAAAATCTTTCTTTTCCAAATGCCAGTATCACAAATTCAATTTCCATCGAAGGTTGCACAAAGATAATTCGATTTGAAGTTAGGGTCACTCGGATGCGTGAAATCACGACCACTTTTGCGGATGTGATTTTTGACTTCAAGGAAAATAACAAATCAAAGATTTAGCGAGTTTTCAAGATGTTCAAATGAGCAGTCCTGGTTTGCGCGAGAACGTTCTTTATAGCGACACCCAATAATGTGAATCTTGATTTCGAAAAAGGAAATTTTGAAAAAATAAACAATCTAACCAATCCTATAAAATCATAAAGATTGATAACAACTAGGACAAAATAGTTCGGTCGAAAACTTGCTACATGTATCTTTACTAAAATAATATTGGTATCTTTTTGAGATCACGCCCGGAGTAATTACCTTCGTTGTTTACAGAGAACTCCTTAGATAAGCTCAAATTAACAATGCAGGCGGACTAGAAAAAGTCTAGTGAGTTGTCGGTTTATCAACTCGTTTATAAAATAGAAACAGAGCGGACAGTTTGTTGCGACTCACATTTTCCCAATTATTCTTGGTCAAGAAAACGACGCATTCAAATATTAATTAAATTCAATTGTCCATAAAATGCTTTGAATTCTGAAATTCTTGGAATGGAAATTTTTGCTAGGTATGTAGAGAGGGGCTAAATGGAATCATGCAGCTACTGACAACTGTTTTTTTAAAAATTGCAGTAAGATTTACCTTTAAATCCCTGTGGACAATTCTCATTTTATGAAGGTACTCCACAGCTAACAATATCTGGTGGAAAGTTTTTCTTGCCTCCTTTTCAGGCATTCTTCCTCGCTTGACGAGATATTCTGTGAAACGCACAAATCACATTTAAAATCACTGTACAGTTATGTAATGCAGGCAAAATGGGTAAATGTGCACCTAAAATAGAGGGGTCGAAGAAAATAAGCATGGGTTCCGATGAAACTACATTGACAAGATCTCCAGCACCAGGCTACATGGTCGTTTCTTGATAACAGTCCTTGAGCCGCTTACCTGTTATTCAAAAGGCGTTCCTAGCTAAAAAAATACATGAACGTGCAATAAGAATAAACAGGGTTGGTGGAAAACGCGGTGATCTTCAATGTTGGACAACATGAATCAGCAGAGTTTAACGGATGTTGAGAACGTCTTTCAAAATAGGCCTAAGCAATGCATGCCGAATCACAAATAGCTAGCTTCGAACCTACAACAGTACCTAAAACACCGAACAAATAACATTCCTCGCCGCATATCGAAATAAATATCGAAAATAGCAGAGATAAATATCGAAATAAAAGGAATTTAGGTTGATACTGAGGGGCTAAAAGGGTAGGACAGGTGAAAAACCTATTCAGAGAGGGTACCAACTGAGGGAAAAAATTAAAATACAGAAAAACTAAACATTCCTGTAGATAATTGACTACTAACGAGCCCTACCTCGCTTTCAACAGATATCTAAGTAGTTTAAAAAAAGCAAAAAAACCTCGAAGAGTGACTTTATCAAGATCACTCGAATGATATGATATTTTCCCGATTTTCAATCAAACACGGCGATTTGTAAAATGTCTTCATTTCAACCGTACTTAGAAGGTTGCGAGCCATCTAGCTATGAAACATATCGTCGTGTATTAAGATACTTCTAAAGTGCATCTCTACAACCATACAAAAACTTTGACTCCGTATGACTCTAAAACCTTTAAACTTCTTTCAACTACATTCATCAATGCAAAAGTTAATGTAAAATCAGAATTGCCTTCAAACAATTAAAGACAGCGAGGAAGATTTTCAGTGTGCCAAACAGGTGCTCGATAGGTTTTTTTCTAAATACCCCCTACGTCTTATGAAATACAAGGGAGGAAATTTAAAGTTAAGTTAACTTGTCAAGAAGAACCTAGAGTCATTTTAAGCTTCTCATTTGCATTCTTGATCAATGCGCTGTAAGAATGATGGAAATAAATTTTAATAGTCGAAAATGAATTTCGCCTGTGTTTCCATTAGAGTGCCATCAGTGTTAAGATAGCATATCTCCTCCTTGAGAGTGTTACAGGGAAAATACAGTGTCAATTTCCAAGGCAACAAAAATGCAATCCTCTAGTAAACTGGATTTTTCTACCTTACTAAACATTACTAAACAAACGTCCTTTATAACAATGGCAGTGAAACAACTAGGTAAATATAATTCAAAAATTCACAAACGCGTAAATGTTTCTATGAGAAAACCAAATACACCAAAAAGACACAGAATTGTTGATTAAGAAGCTTCTGTCTTAAAACGTGAAGATCAGCAAAAAGTCTGGATGAAGTTGTAAGTAGTCTGGATAAGGCTACAAGCACAGCTGGATAAAGCGCTTCTTAAACTAACGTCTTATCGCAACAAAGAATCTTCTGATCCTTAACTCAGCTTTGTCTAGGAAACTTAACATTCTATTGTGTTCGTTTAAATCTAGCAGAAGTATCTTACAAAATTCTGGTGCAGCAGGAATCAAACATCTACTGAAACATTCACTGCTTCTATAGCTTTTGACTGGGATTTGCATGAACAGCGAGATAAAAAACCTTGAAGATCTTACACCTACGAACTCTAATAATCAATAGGAAATACGCTCGACGTACGCCCACCTACTCTCCGGAGGCCATGGCGAATTTTTCAAGCCACACGACTCGTGAGTCAGATAAACATCATTAGCAAAATAATCACTTCCAAGACTGAATGTCTAATGCTGTGAAGTTAGATATCTTCAAGCCATCATAGCAAACACAGTGCTTTGTGAACAAAAGATCAAATGATTTTTGAGTATTTTTATAATTCCTCACGCTGACGATTGAAGATGGCTTTGTCGTGTTGCAACGCTTAATGCAACCCTGATACACCCTTGCTAAGATAATCGAAAATTTCATCAATAAGTAATGGCAGCCTGCGAGATGTAAACGTTGAATCAATCATTTAGCAAGTCACTTAGAATAAGAAATTCTTATTATGTGTGTTCGCTATATGAGCTTTATCGTGCATACGTACTTGAAAAGACATCGAGTACTTACCAAAAATCTCTCCACCAGCTGCGTACTCAGTAACCAGATACAACATTCGGTCGGTGTGCATAACCTTAAAATACAAATTATAACTAAATGAGAACAGAGATAAAATATCTTAAGGCTTTGGGGACACGTCATGTTAACATTTATAAGACTAAAAGACTCTTGCAAGCACCTTAGAAAAGGATACCCTAGGTACCAGAGTCTCCATTATTTAGTCTCAGAAATATAGTTAGAAACCAGTCACAGAAAATTTTGTTGAGCGAGGATTGGAAATAGAGGCTGCCTTCCACTCCTCCGCATCCATTCATTCTTCGCCACCGCATCTTTCTATAACACTTATCCCCGGATTCATGAGGCTCTGGTACCCAGGGTATCAAATTTTCTGCAACCAAAATTATTCCATCAAAGCAACTGAACTGATAAAGTATTTTGCATTGGGTTTTCTTAAAAATGGAACCAGAACACAATGGAGAGCGTGATGTTAACAATTTTTAAAGCACTTTCTGGCAATCAATCACACAATACCCTCAACGTTTTTAAAGGGATTGCATCATTTGCAATGATAATCATTTCCGAGTGAACGATATTTTACGAGGGCAGGAAAAAAATGATAAAAATAAACCAATCTTGAAGGCATAAGGAAAGGATACAATAAAAGTACAAGGACAACTAATTTGAAGTAACTAGAAATGGGCTTTTTTGCCAGACGGCCCTGAGGTCAGCTATAATTCACCAGAAACAGCTCAACAGTACTCGCCTTGGAGCAAGTTATCAGAACTATATCTGATAGGATCAATTTGACAACACTGAAGTAATTAAAAGCTACATTATTAAAAAGGGCGGGGATATGCTACTGCAAATTATATACTGTCATTAAACAACACTTGCATGGACGGTATTGTAGATCTATATAGAGGACTTTCCGATGATGCTTATATTCTGGAGGTAAATTGGACTAGAAATAGCGGGGTTCAGCCACGAAAATTTTCAAAAGCTGTCATTCATAAGGTCATTTGCGATTGGTACCGTGATAGAATATTCGTGATAGAAACTTTGCCCCTTTCAACAAATAACACTTTCCAAACAAAAATATCATCAAGCCTTCTTTCTCTTCAGTGGCATTATCATGGGTGCTAAAAGAGATCTACAGAAAAGCGGGAATCAGAAAAGAATTGGTGAAAGAATGCCAGAAAGTTTGATCAGCTGTAAAAGGTGCCTGGGCTAATCCTGAGGAGACAAGGATAGTTGTGGGAGAATTAACCATTTCTGTTCTAGTCATACCCACGTAACATGATTTTAAATAACGAAAAAATGAATTTGGAATGATCATTGTAGGCACCCCCTACCGAAGCATCGGCTTGTGAGCTGGCATGCCAATACGAGCAAAGGTTCTTTCTGGCTGAAATGGTCTAACCAAGTATATCACTGCTTGAAAGGCTACTACGGGCAGAATTAGTGAGCGTTAGGGAGCATTCACAATTGACGTGAACGAGTAGCATACCAAACAACTGAAAAAAGTTGACAGCACTTTTGAGGAAGGGGGAAGGAGGAAAAAGGTCTGTAATGTGTCAAAGATGGGGTCTTAAAGAGGAAAGGTCCGTGGTTTGTCAAAGATAGAGGCCTAAGGAGGAAAGATCCGCAGTGTACCAAAGATAGGGGCTTAAAGCGAAAGGTCCGTACTGTACCAATGGAGGGTCAAGAGGCGAGGCCAAATTCTCCCAATTTCACATGTGCCAAGTTTTTCAATAAACTTTGCTCGAAATCTAAAGGAAGAGAAGGGAAGCAGCACGCGGCTTAACAGGCACAGTGCATTTACTTGATATGGTACAGCCCTTGCGCCCGAAACTAGCTAAAGAGAATAATGAAGTAGTTTGCTGGTAGTTGCGTTATGTTTGTGTGCCACACAATGCACAAAATGAAATAAAAAACAAAAGAAATCAAAACGAAGCGAAACAGGACTGAAAAATCCAGAAAACACAAACCTGTGCTGTTTTTGAAAAACCCAGATTCACTTGCTAGACCGTGTATAAGTTTACCGGTGACATCAGCAGGATGCAGATTCTTAATAATTAAGGCGGGGGATAAAGGTATTTTTACTGATGCAGACTTCGGAATTATCAAAGATTCTCATAGGGCTGGCTTTATAAATATATGTATTACATGCGTTTATCAATCCAGACCCCACAAGATGAAGGGAACTTGTTCCTGATTGATTATCTAGATTACACGGGCGGGGATTTACCACAACACAGCAAACAGTGTAAAGGCAAGGATATCAACCGATACTTTGATCCTTATTGAAATATTTCAAACAGCCTCTTTATGGTATACGCTTCTAGAAATAAAAACGAGGATCGCACATGGAGTCAAGGCCGTGAGGAGGCTTCGACAAAATGCCATATTCTTAAGTTAGCAAATTTCTTTAGCAGCTTTGTTTTAAGAGAACAGAACTATGTTACTTTTTCAAAAAAATTTCAATTCTATTTTGTTCCAAATAGAAAAGACCATGCTGCCGAGATGTAAAATGATGCAGAATAGACCATTTTTGGCACTTTTGACATATGGGGCACTTTTTCTAAGCACAATAACGCGTCTCACTCTCAAACGTACTGGCTTGCTAGCCATCAATTTCAGAGAAAAGAATCCGACAATGATTCATTGATAATCATATATAGCCCCAGATGCAAACGAAAAGCAACTCTTTGGCCACCGACTCACAGCCACAGGGCCTGCCCCCACACTTTCCTAAAAAGGATTTAAATACAAACTTGTAGATTATGACAAATACATAAACTGCTTATATAAAGCATCTTTAAAAAACTTGAATACCGCATTGGGACAACACATACATGCAAAACCCATAGCTTCGAGCCTGATGCTATAAGCAAGCTAACTCTGTCATGTCAAATACACTGTTAATGATATTAGCGATTGCAATCTATCGTACATTTAAAAAAATCAATACCAAAGTACCAATTATACTGAATCGCTTTGATTTAGGAATAGGTACATCAATGACAAGAATAAACTGCTTTTTTGCTAGGTGACGTCATCAACTGTGTTGACAATATTTTTTATACTTCATTTCTAATATATTTTTTCTGATGCTGGCTGTCTAAGTTAAAAACTGGCTGTCTCTGGAGCCTAGATAAGTGTTTACCCGTTCTGCCTTCAAAGAGCGAAAATACTCTACAAAAAAAGAAACAAAACATGACCTGGATGTGATAAATGAAATTAATTTATTTCCAATGATACCCTTCTCATGGTGATCGGACGCTTGATTCTTATTATTGCTACTTTGGTCACGCAATTCGAGAAATCTCGTTACCAGCTGCACGAAGCGTAATCAATTTTTAATGCAAAACACATTTACTTTATAAAATGTTGCCACTTGCCGACTCGTTGTTCTTTCATTAAACAGCCCATTTATGAATCTCTCTGATCAGGGATCGAAATTTCTACTGTTTTTAAACGTTGTTTTGTGTGATGCTTCTCTGCCAAACTGAATGAATTTTTCCTTTGAAACAAAGAGGGATTTTTGATGTCGGAACATCCCAGATGTAGGAACACTCCGGATGAAATAACAAAATGTCGTAAATCATACCTGAAGATTTTCGAAAAATTTCCGGATACTGAAATGATACCGTCACATTTTGAATATTTTTGTTTTCTGTTCGTCACCTTTTCCCCGTGGTGCATATTTATTTTCAAATATCAGCCATTTCCATTCGCAATAGTTTTGAAGATGCATTATAATTAATCTTACTTTTCGCTGTATCCTGCAACCACAACAGTCATGTGCTCGCGTTTTCTGATTAGTAGATTTCGATCCACAACTGGGTATATATATTTTCTAGGGTAGAGTTTAAAGTCCATGTTCTGACGTTTTATACTCTGAAGAGCGTCAGACGAATAGCTTGAGTATGTTTTTAAAATGTTTGCTATATTAAAAGCCGTTTTTAAATTCTGTACCACAAAAAGACTGTTAAAACCAGATTTCATTGGCTAGCGACTTCTTTATTTCAAAAGGCAAAGTGAAAGAAAATGGTGCAACTTCTGCGTTTGATTATTACGTTTACAAGACCCTGCTTAATCCAGATTGAGTTCCTTTTTATAATAGAGACAATGTTTTTAACAGATTAAAAATTAAGTGTTAAAAATTGTGTGTATTGTGCGTTTAAAAGATTAAAAGACAGCCCCCTCCCCCCGAATGAGCTTCCATTCTCAAAAATAAATCTGAGAGAATCCTTTCCATCCACCCTTTACTCGAGGGGCATATCACTCAACTAAAATATCGCACGCTTTTGGCAATAATCTCTTTGATTTCGAGAAAAATCCGCCAAAAATCCCTAAAAATCCTATTGTTCTAAAAAATCCCGTACGCTGTAATAGAAGAATGATATGCGCCTTGCCTTTACTTGTAAGGCTGTCCATACTCTATTAGCAAAGTTAAGCGTAGAAGATGCTATTAAAATTATGTTGAGCGCAATATTGTTTTGCATTAAATTTATGATTCAAGAACCCGAAGAAGAGAAAAGTTGACATTAGTGTGTATTTCTTACGTGAACTATAGCCCCTTTTTCAATTCTTTAAAATAAATTGATTCATTGCCATATTTGATGAGTGTTAGCCTTTAAATACCGTTGGATCCTGAAGCTCAACCCAGACCCCACTGGTGCGCCCATAACACCATAAATCCCTTAGTTCGACATCTGCCATACAACCTTAATGTTCTGTTTTTCAGTTTCATTAACCTGCTTGGCAGCCACTTCTTTACTGTTCCCTTTTTCATCCTTTTATTATGATCGCTATCGTCAATAACAAAACTTTAAATCAACCAGAATTGATAATGAAATATGATTGGCAACATCGAGAAATAGCACAATCTAGTACAAACACGCAGGGAAACAAACAAAATATCACATATAACAAAGCATGAGAATATATATAAGAAAGCTTTCAATAATCCCTTAATGATGATAGTCTTTGTGTAGCTGTAGAGTCATTTTATGAAGAAAATAGAAGTGACAGCCTTTTTTATCACACTGAGAAGTGGTGGCCATTATCAAAAACAAAACACATAACAAATTTAATCCTAAAGTGTGACATGCATCAAAGAAGCAGCCATTTCATAAAACTACTATCAGATTCACCTGCTCCTAAAGCACATGCTAGTAAATGATTCACAGCTGCTCACAGCCTGAATAACCCATTCTCTGATTATAAAATTCTATTTGGAAAATCCTTACTTTCACATTCATTTTTCAGTAGCCTTGGCTACCAAAGCCAACAATTTCCTGTGTCAAATAACATGATAATGTTAATGGCTAACAAAGCATTAAACATGTATATCAGAATCGAATTTTGATTTTGTCTAAAAAAGTATCGCACTTGAATATGTCGTTTCCATAATATTACATAGGTACATGGTTACATGATTTCTGTGAACAACAAAAATATTAAAAAACCATTAAAAAAGGGTTGGCAACATTCATTGATTGATTATAAAATTTATTGATTATTTATTTAGCCACAATAACAGTTAAAGGTATCTAATTTTCAGAAAGCATCAAAAACATAACCTTACTATGACATTTTATAAGGCATGCAATTACTTGACAGACAATAGGGATGTATAACAAAAAGTAGATTGAGCAAGATAAAAAGCAGCTGGGATTTCTTATATGCATATAAACAGATTGATATGAAGAACAAGAAAAGCCATGTTCAAAAGGTTCAACATTTCACTCAATATTTGCATTTTATGATTTGCCCAACAATGACATTTCAGACTTTGGGTGAAATTTGCTCTGGTTAAAAAATGTGAGGTGTTAAATGAAATATTGGAGGAATTATTAGGTCATTTGAAAAACTCAGTAAATATACTAGGTGCAAAATGCCTTGCATCTTTCTGATTTTGACAGATAAATCTAAGATAAACCTTTCTGGTTCTGACAGAAGTTAGCTGAGTGACTCAAGCAGCATTTATGGGCATTTAAAAACAAAATTTTTTTTGGCAAAATGGTGGAGTATTGAATTTATTTGTGTACCCAATATTTTAAAGACAGGGTGGTTTGGTAAATGTTGAGTTAATGTGAGGCCTGAATGGCAATCAGCAGATATGAAAGTGGCTTTAGCCTGCGTCACAGACCATATTCTGAAGTGGTCAACAACGCAGGCCAAAGTGGCATAAGATATCTGTCAATCAACATTAACCAATCAATGACTGTCAATCAATATTAGCCAATCAATGGAATCACACTCACTGATTGGTTAATTTTTATGGTAAGATGGCTTGAGCTGCCATTGAGGGTAGCAAACAGAAGTGTTTTTTCTCAAATGTATTTGAATCCTCTATACTCCTTCATTAACTCTATAAAAATTTATAAGAAATTTGGAGCTCTATTGTATATTTGATTACAGCCTTCACAACAAAGCTAGTAATATCCTATTCAAAAAATGTGATAATGAAACCATCAAGGAAATTCACAAAATTGGCATACAGGCACCACTACTGACTGCTAACCATACATGGCAAGAATTTTTCTTTCCCAAAGACTATTAAAACACTCAAAGTGAACTAGTAAGTTATAAATTTTTTCATAATGTCTGTTTTTCCATTTTTTTGCAATATTATTTTATATTAAAAATTAAAAAATTCATACCAAATGCCTACACTGTGATAGTTTGTGCATCAAAAGTAAAGAAAGGTCAATATGGGTCATCACACACAGGTCTTTTATCAACCACTGAATTTCAGAGCCTTTTGAAATTATTTTAACAAATTTGAATTTTCAGTGAAATTTTAGGAAACATTTAGAAAACTAAGGGAATTAACTTTTAAGGAATTTGCAGCAAATTCTCAAAAAGTTGAGAGAATGCCACAGAATTAAGGATAGTTTTATTAAATGAATTTGATAAAAAGCAAACATTGGCTAAAAGCTTTTGGTCTGACACTCCTTATAGCATAAAACACCAGAATAAGAAATAGTTTTGATAGAAAAAAGGAAAAGATTAAGTTTAAAAAACAGTGTTAAACTTAAAGTATAGATCTTTACAAAATTGTGTCATGAAATTTTGTACAAAATATAGATAATCCTATGATGTATGATGAAAGGCCTGAGAGCACAACTTTTCATGATTGGTGATATTTTGACTACAAAATGACTACAGAAAGGTTAGTTCAAAATAATTAAAATCATGAACATACATTTTAGCTCTGTTTTATTTTGAATGAAATGCACAACTAAAATATTATTGTGCAAGGGGATGAATCTAGAAAATTACATTCCTATTAAGATTAAACATCAGATAAAATATATGGTTTGCAGGCAAATATTTGCCTCTGGAGATAACCTGCTAGAATATTATTCAATAAACAGCATCACCTGTCAAAGTTAAAACATTATCTAACACAAATACATTGTTTTGAAATAGATACAAAAAATTCCCATTTTTCTATGCATTTTGTTGTTGTCATAGAAACAGATTTTTGATAGCAAAAAATGACTCCATGCATGATACGTTTTCTAGTGCAACAGTGTATCCTGCAAAGCTGATAGTGGTGTATTCAATGACTTAAGAAACACTGAACAATGATCAACATATAAAGATATTTCCTCTTTTATCTATTGATGAAATTAGAATGTTTGAGCAGTCTAACATCGTGCAATGTACATAAATAAATGAGACACTTGAATATTTACTGTTGTCTATACAGATATATATTATATTGTGTTACTTTCCCTAGACTACAATTCAGAATCCAGTTTAAGTGTGTGGTGACACACATTGGTTAACGTCCCTGCTTTAAATCACCAATAAGCCCTGAATTCTAAGTTTGTAGAATGCAATCAGGCAATACTTTTCCCTGATTTTGCCCTTTTTTCTCAAAAGAAGCAGAACATGAAAGTTCACAAATATCATTCTGAAACACCAAAAATCGCAAACATTTTACTCAATGTGTCCTCTTCAAGGCATAAATTTGCAATGCATCAAGAATAAATGGTATAATCAAAATTTCCTGTGTTATTAAAAATGGTATATATGTAAAACACATATTTATCCAATTTCACTCATTATCAAGCATCTAGGAAGATCTAAGTCTAAAAGATGTGTAGACCAAATACAAAAAAATTATTTGGATAATGCTATTTTGCAATAAATGAGATTATAGATTCCCTTCCTGTAGACCACCTTGTTGCAATCAAACTATCATTGTACGCAGGCCGCCGATATTAAACCGGATTATCGAAGATTCCGGGAACCAGTTACAAACTGCCTATTGTAATAAAGCTACAGCACGCAAGAAAATACTTTGTTGACATTTTCCATGCGTAAACACATACTCGCTGCATGGTAATTGTATCTTTTTGCTAGTCTTCCCAACATTAAGAGCGTCATAGAAATAAACAGTTGTTGCCGTCTCACCTCGTATAATCTGACAATGTGTGGATGGCTGATTTTTCTCATGATTTTCACCTCCCGCTCAACTTTTTTCAAATTATCTTCATCAAGGTGATTTTTATCGATCATCTTTATAGCAACCTAAAATGAAATTTCAAGCACACATGATGCCAGAACTAAGGATACTAGTAACAGAATGTTGAAAACCATCTGCAACAATTATTTTCTGTGCATCACATATGATAGAGAGGCCTAGCAGTATACCGAGCCAGAATCTCCATTATATGCCATTCATCTCGCCGACACAATACAGGAGCTAAAAAGCTTGAGATTTTTTCATATATACAAGATTCAAGTTCCCCTGTAAATACTATGATGTGCTTTCTAGGAAAACAGGGTCCCTTTATGTGACAAATAGAATTCCGTGACAAATAAATAAAAAAGCCTATTTGGTGCTCACATTTGAAAACTAAATAGTGATATTGGTAGTGTTCAGCTTCGTGGAAACTCAAAGCATGTAAATAAACAATGATTGTCGCGATTTGCTAAAATGTTGCGTAAAGTTTGTCGTCTCAAAATAATTTCCCATTATTCTAAGCAACAAAAAAGACAAAATAGTCAAAAGATTCGAAATTATCAGGCGCCAAGAACTCTCCACGAGTACCATGACACGAGATATCAAGAGCAAGCAAACATTTGTTACCCTAAATTAATTCCAATTATTTGCAATAAAAAGCATGTTTGCAAGAAAATTACCTTGACATTTGCAATGGCATGTTTGGCACATTTGACAACAGCAAAATTTCCCTTTCCTATGGTCTTTTCTATTATATAAGAGCGAATTTTAGTGGGGGCGCGAGTTGAACCTGCTCTCTGCAGTTGCTCCGCCATCTTCGAAAAATAAGAATGATTTTGAAGCGATCAGCGAACTCCCATTAATTAAATATGCTCTTCTAAGTACAGTATCAATGTAGCTTCTCATTCAGGCTTTCGCCCACAGCTCTACTACGCGTATGCAAGTAAATATGGAGGAATTTGGTTGTTGAGGCAATCCAAGGGCGGATCCAGAATCAACTTTGAAGGCATTTGGTAGTGAGGGCGCTGTAAGATTTTCAGAAATTGGTGACAAGTGTACGCTGTATACAACAATTTCAGTCCCTAACTACTGACAGAAGGCTTTCCATTCACTCTGTAAGAGAATTTTCACAATAATTATTGTATGCTTTGAGGTAATCCTTGAAGTAAATTAACCTATAAGTCTCAGAAACTTTTTCACCCGATTCTCGTTCTTGAAAAAGGACGCACAATTTCCAAAAAGGGGGCACCAGACTTGCTTCAACTCGGCGAAGGAGGGGCAACTCCCCCTAGTTGCCCCCCCCTTTAAATCCGCCACTGAGACAATTGCAGCCTAGAAAATTTCATATATAAGATATAAAGTAAATAAGCAAGAAAATGGTGAATAAAAAAGTAGAAGGTAGTGTGAAAACAATAAAGTTTTTGAGTAGAGTTTTTGATCTATATTCTGACGTTTTAAACTCTGAAGAGTGTCAGACGAAAAGCTTTAGTTTACTCAAATGTTTGCTTGTCCAAACCCATATCAGATTGTCCATCTCAGTCATTAGAAGGAAACGATGTACAAAGACAGATTTACCTGGAGGGTTTGTGGAGCTTTGGCAAATTTTGCTTCCATTCGATCAAAAACATTTTTTGGTAGTCAACAGTAATCAAATAATGCCAATATTTTTCTCTATTTATCTTTCTATCTTCTTTGTCTTAAAGTTAAAAACCGAACTTGAAAGGTAGGCTTTTCCATCATTTTCCAGTGACATGAAGGCTGTGACACCAAAATCCAACTATTATCTAACACCCCGCACCCCAATCGCTCGGTTCGAAACTTAGGCCCCGTTCAAACGGGAACGCAATCGTTCCGTTCCGTTCTTTTCCGTTCCGAAAAGCGGAACGCTCAGGGGTTGTGTTCACACGGGAACGCTTCAAACGACATCGTTCCAAAAAGTGGAACGATAAAATAAGTGATACGAAAAGTGGAACGGTACGCAATCGTTCCGTTCCGTTCCCGTGTGAACGCGCAGAACTGGCCCAGAAAATGGAACGATAAGAGTTTTGCCCTTGGTGCATGCGTCTGTGTTGTTGTTGAGGGAAGGAAAAGGTGACAATAATAAACTCGGCAAAGAAAATGGAGGATTTGAAAAACACCATTGGCTGAATCTCGCCGTTAGTCCATTTAAAAGATTCAAAACCATTCTGCAAACATTGAAATTCCTTCCTTTTAGGGTTGGCTTCCATTTTCCCACGAGCTTGCTTATTTTGGGGCGCTTTTGTATTCTCCATTTATTCAAATTGTTTAAAAAATTCAGAGATGGCTCAGAGATAAATCGAAATGATGAAATCTATCTCCATTATGGACATGCGCATTAAAAATCATTCGCTTATTTTGGCGCGCAAATTGCAGAACGGAACGATTGCGTTCCCGTCTGAACATAAACAAAAATCGATACGCAATCGTTCCGTTACCGTGTGAACAGTATACCTTTTCGTTCCAGAAACTGGAACAAAAATGGAACGGAACGATTGCGTTCCCGTGTGAACGGGGCCTTAGATTTTAGGGCCGATACGTGCCTTGGGTGCAATTTCTTTTCATCCTTCGTTCACTTGTTTAGCTTCGAAGCTACCTCGATACGTAATTACTTTCCAAGAGCTACTCTTATCACGCAATGAGAATGTATCGTGTTAACGCATGTATTAACTTCCATGTATAAAGCTGTATCGACAAGGTCCTGTTGTGATTTTTGTCTCTCTATTGAACTATTCGTTTTGAAATCTCGGAACATGGCTTGCCAGTAATACTTGTACCCATTCCCATAACCTTCCGATCTAAGAAAGCTGGATGCATCTTTCCTTCAAATGACTAAGACAGACATTCTGATAGCTGCAACATCGTCCGTAATTGTGATGATTGAGTACAAAAGATATCAACTCGGGAACTCGCGCTGCTGTTAAAGTTGGAGTACATTGCTTAGTGACAATGATGACGAATCGACTGTCTTTCATTGCTGGCAAAGGCTCTTCTTCAGTAGAGTCAAGACAAATTTTTATTAGAATGTCTTCCTTTTTCTTGCATTTTTGTTCAATACTTAATTTCCCAAAGCGTGCAAATATATCAGCTCAAAGCCATTCTTGAGTTGCTGAATAACACGAAGATAAAAACTTCAAAATCAAGGTAAAGCAACCTAAGTTACGACCATCAGCTTTTGAAATCCACGTGCTTGAAAACTGCAGAACCGCCATTTTGATGACGTCGTGCAAACTTTAAACAGCAATAACTCGATATCTACAAGTCTGATTGAGTTTATTATTTAGAGCTTTTTGTTCCTTTTACAATGCCAAACAAGATAGTTGGAGCAATTTTTCAATAAAGAAAAGTAAATATTCTGATGACCGGGGGAAATGACGTCATCGATCTCGTTATTTCTGTTGTGTTACAAAAAAGTATCCAAGGCTTAAAATATTCAGCAAGACTAAAGTACCCAAATCAAGAGCAAAAACTAAGGTTAGGCACTTTGCTCGATTTTTCTAAGAAATTCCTTGTCTATTAGAAACATGTTTCAAAATGTTTGTTTTTTTTCAAAGCCATTTTTAAATTCTATACACGAAAAAATTGTTTGCATAAACAACGATCTCTTTATACACGAAAAAAGATTGTTTTCCAAAAAACTGTTACCAGGATGAGTAATGAAAATAGATTCTTTGGGACTGAATTTTAATGGGGGTTTTAGGATAAAAAACTTGCCAGCAAGATTGACATAGAACAGGGGTGGGCAACCTGTTTTGAGCATGGGCCAAATTCTTCAAACCTTTTCTTAAGCGGGCCATGTGTGATAAGAAAAACGAATACGACAGTCTTGTAATAATGATAACAATAATGATAAAAATGTTCATTTCGATTCAGTTATGCTACAATCACAAACCTCTCTATTGCCAAGATAAAATAAGTTCTCTTAGTTTATCTTGCTGTTACATAGGTACTTTTCAACTGGCTTGCCCGGGTTCACAAGAGAATAGTATTACAGTCGTAAGTGCAAATGGAAAAACTGAAAAAATCATGAAAATTGTGATCCCAATCGCCTTTTAAAAATTGGAGCAGAAATGATACGTTACAACGGATAACGAAAAAATATTTCCTTGATTTCTGGTTTTGAAGATTATAATCTCATTTTGAATTGAAACATTCATTCAGTTTTTGTGACGTCTCAGAATATCACCCTTGCCAACCAAAGAAATTATAATATGATCTCATATCTCGCGGGCCACAAAAATTCTCTTCACGAACCGGATTCTGGCCCGCGGGCCGTACGTTGCCCACCCCTGGCCATAGAATGTTTCTGTAGATGTGGCCTTTCTCGGTAAAAGCTACCCTGGGTACCAGACTCACTATGTATAAAGTGAGTCTGGTACCCAGGGTAGGTAAAAGCCAACTCTCTTCAATTCTCGGTAAAGCAAACATTTGCTAGATTTGCCGACAATTGCAAACAACATATTTGAACGAGGTCTATGAATTTGGCTGCAATGCTTGAAATTGGAAATATATCTTACTCTGTCCTCCAACATCTCAATTTATCTGCAGTTTCTTGGCTGTCACGAATGACTATATTATTTGCTATTTCAGCAGTGACGCAAATCAGATCCATGTTTCATTTCAAGTGAAAGTGTGGTACTTGCATCTATGTACCGGGCTTCAAACTCAGAAACGTCATACAGAAATTCAAGAATTTGAACATTTGAATAAATTTGAACAAATTTGCAATTTCATTTTGAATTAGCTTTGTCAATTTTCCTGGTTCTTATCAAGGGCTACCTAGAATGACTGGAATGAAATTAAAAATAATGTTCAATTTTTTAGCATAACGGGTAAAAACGTATGTCGTCATACAGAAATTCAAGAATTTGAACATTTGAATAAATTTGAACAAATTTGAGGCAATTTCATTTTGAATTAGCTTTGTTCAATTTTCCTGGTTCTTATCAAGGCTTTTTTCAGCTACCAGGAGATATTAGTAGAATGACTGGAATGAAATTAAAAATAATGTTCAATTTTTTAGCATAACGGGTAAAAACGTATGTCTGGTTTGATTGTCAGAAGGAGACAAACCTTACTCAAACTTTCCTTGAAACGTTTCCAAAACAGTCAAGTCCCGCTGTAGCGGGAGTTTGTTATACACGGAGTATTCTGAGATATGCTGATAAAGATATGGGGTAGTTGATTCTTTAAATTGTCAATTTTGGGGAAGTAAAATGGATATGGTAGGGTAGTGAGTGTGTTGAAAGACGCCAGGCACGAGGCCAATGGGGACACTGATTCAGGGCCTATTTTACGGAAATTTTCCAAGACCACACTTTAAGAAAAGAAGGCTGTATGTGAAGCATGGAATTTCAAAGTATCGACCGCTGCCGTAAAAAGCGTTTTTTTTATAAAATATTAAACATAACACGATTTCAAATATGTTTCTATTACAGTCTATTCTTTATAAACTCCGACAGTAACAGTAGCTAGAGGTTAACATTGCTAGAAGCTCTATAATTCATACTTATTTTAATATTAAAGGACACGTTGAGCCAAAAAATTTAAAAAGCGGGGGTTCTAATAAGAGCAGGGGGCGATAAGATTTTGAAAAATTAATGATGGGGGGAGTCTATTTATTGGGGGCCTTGGATTAAGCTGATCAGTTTCAATTATTTCAGGTTTCAAAAATCGACATCAGCGTTAGCGTAAGAGGATGATATAGAGAATCGATATAAAAATTAATGACAATAACACCTGTGCAATTATTGAACAGAGTAAGAGTTTGGCGAATTTAGGCTACCTGTATGCAATCATATTATCTCCAGTTTAGGAGCGTAATTCTAAAATGCGCACGATGAAAATCTAGAATGACCCTTA